CCCCCCCTCCACCACCACCTCTTACCTTCCCTGTCGTTGTTTTCATAACCTCTCTCCTTCATGAGTGGTGCATCGGCGACAGCAACCCATCCTCAGATGCCGGCGGCTGACGGGATTTCATATCTCAAATAGATCTCAGTAAAAGAAAATTGAGTTATCCACAGACCTTTAGGTCATTTTTTTTAGATAGAAATGGATTCCGTCAGTGCTGCTTCGAAACGTGTCTACGGTTAGTTACCTTTCCTAGAGACATTACAAACACTTTATGGGTTACTAATCTAGGTGATCTTTTTCAGAGCCCTTGCCTCCAGATGTTCAGGCTACAGTTGTTCCTCTGTTCCACAATAATGAGCCATTTGTAAAGACATTCCTTAGTACTCTGCTCCCTGAATCGGATCATCATGGTATAGATGATACACTTCGCAAGGTATGTCGACACCTTTCAGGTTTCTGATCATTATCTGTAACATTTTTGATTTAACTTTTTATGTAAAATTTGTATGTGTGATATGTTTTAGAGTTTTCCTCTTGCTTGTCTTGGAAGGCGTCAGCGCAAGAGTAAGTTACGGCGTGCCAAAGGATCCTTATCACTCACAGAGAGAAGACGCTTGGGTCTTTATCAACTACGGCGGCATGGCTCAAAATATATTGATTCCCTTCCCATTCATGAATTGTGGCTTCAATATATTTCAAGCCTAATTTCTCTTCCTGAAATAGAAAAGAGCGGGTAACTTTATAATCCCCTCCTTAACTCCTTGTTAAATCTATTAGCACAAGTTTTCTCAGCTCTCTTGTTCTTTCCTTGCCAGTTTTACTGCCAAACCATCTGATAAGCAGTGGGGGCAAGTCACCCTTGCATTGTATAGAGCTGACTATCATGGAGCTGAATTGGAGGTGACTCGTTCTAAATGCAGCTCACTTCGTGGAATTAGAGGAATAGTTCTTATGGATACAAAGAACATGTTCAAGGTTATATGTAGGGATAATGTTATTCGTTGTAAGTTCCACATCTTGTGAACACATCTATGTAGAAAAGTCTGTTGATGTTATTTAACTTTTGATTACTAATTTCAGCTGTTCCAAAATCACCATGTGTATTTAGTCTCAACTTCAAAGGATATACTTGTACCATTTTTGGAAAGTATTTCTGTACAAGACCCGCTGAAAGAAGTGTTAAAAAAGTGAAGGGACATTGCCCTTCTGACCTGTGAAAAATCAGTAAGTCACCTACAATTAAATGTATCTGCTGTACCTGAATGCTTTGGAAAAGGTTATTAAAAAAACAAACTGTTATACTCTTTTCATAGTTTTTTCATTGTGTCCATTGACTCTTATAAGCCTGCCAATCGTCACTTTTCTCATGGGGTGGCTTTTCCTGAATTTTCTACAAAACTCAGAACTCTTGTAACAAGTGATGAAGTGAGAATGATAGTTGCAGGTAGATAAACATAGTGTACACTATGTTTTGATATATGACATGCGTATCAAATTTAAAGAGTTCAAATAATACTTTGAACTGTCACACAAAATTAATAAATAAACAGCACATGAATGTAAATCACAAAGGGTTGATACTGCAGGAAAACAAGAACAGCAACAAATGTGTTGCAACATAGAACCAGATTTGTCAAGAATTTTCAATGATAAACCTTCACAATGACACATGTTCAAAAGAATGTCAAAAAATGATACTAAATCAATGCTTGGAAAATATTGAAACACGTGAACAGTCTTGGATTTTAGAGAGAAAGCTGCACAATTTATCAGACATCCAACCAAAAACATAGAAATTGAGTCATGAAATTAAAAAAAAAAACTTCTACTGCACATGCACAAAAATGCAACGTTCCAGAGAAACCATCCAAAGTGTATTCCAAAAACTAAAACAAGAAATAATAATTTCGTGGGCCTAAACTGCCCATTACATAAAGACTGCACAAACTGACCAAACAACTTAAAACTTGCTAACACATACAAACAAGCATTAGCAAAGACAGAATAAATGTCTTTGGAATTTGCTGATAGTCAATAGTTTTAAAGTATGTTACAATGCATTTCATATGACTTCATATTAATTTAATACTACAAAGATAAAAATGAACCCCTTCATTTCATCAGACCACATACACCTTATTCAGAAAACTGTGCATATAATGCATTCACCAAATGGAGCAAAAATGAAACCTGAATTGAACAATATACAGAGTGCCTAGTGCATAACTAACTTAAGCAAAACATTGGAGCATATAAATTATCTCAGCCTGATACCCACTGACTTACAAGCCATCCAAGAAAATAGATTGCAAGATGGTGAAATATGCAAATTTTACTATGGATGAAGAGTTATGAGGAAAAGGCACAGGTACTCTCTCACAGTAGGACACACAACAACTAGTAATATCTTAGTTGTGTGTTATGATTTCAATAAATCAAGTAATAAGTCACACATAATTTTTTATACACACAGAAGAATTGATCTACTAGCCCATATCCTACACTGCACTCTTATCTTAATTCAACTTGTCAACGCCACAGGCATGGAAGCCCCAATATTGTGATTTTAGTTGTAACATCCTTACATTACTGAAGAACAACATACAAAGTAACAAAGAGGATTCAAATAGGACTGATACAGTTTTTTAAATCCTACTTAACCACAATTGTGGGGAAGGGTAGCCTGTGCACACTGACCTGAGAGCTGAGTGCGTCACAGGCAATGTTGATCAGTATGGGTAAAATGAGGCCCTTCGATAACTCCTAAAAAAAATAGAAATAGTAGAAAGATGAAGAGTTCATTCAACTTTTTTTAAAACAGAGGAATTTGTTAAAGTTATATTCGACAATATTACCTTGGTCTTCTGATAGGTCTGTATCCAAAATAGGCAGATCCTCTACTGACTCTTCCACGCATGCCTCTTCCCCTGGGTCCCCGGTTAGTCATGCTCATGCCAGGTCTATTGGTGCGTTTTGGATTAACCTGAACCCAAAAAAAGGTGCTGTAAAACTTATATGGCATGTAGCCAGGTCTGGCAGACAAGTAAACAAACCTTTATTTGTCGGCCACGGAATAGTGATTCATCCATTGCCATAGCTGTCTGTACAGACTCTTTTTCTCCAAATTCAATGTAGGCAAAGCCCTTTGGGTGGCCATCAAACTTGTTGCAGAGGATTGTGACTCTATTGATAGACCCACATCCATGAAAATGTTGCTCTAGTTCCTCTGCAGTTGCCCCATAGTCTACCTGAAATTAATATGCAAAATAAATAATTTAACCTGAAATGACAACATGATTTAATATTTAAGAGAACAAACTAGAGGACAACTTACATTGCCTACATAAATTGAACGATTGTCTACTTCCATTTTGTCTTCCAAAGACATGTTCAATGGACTGGCTGCTAAAGCACAATATCAAAACACAAGGTAAACATAACAAATATATACTTATGATCATTTTTTTGTTCTTCTCATAATAAAATACCTATTCCTGGTGGGCTCCCCATGTTCATTTGCTTGTCGACCTCAGACTGTAATTGTTTAAGTTTTTCTGCCTCTTCTTCCATTTCCCGGACTCTGGCTTTAATGGCCTCCAACTCCTGGTAGATAATTTCAATGTAAATTAGGATTGTATGAGAAAGAATAATTAAAAGACAAAAATGTATTATACTTACAGGGTCATCCATACCAGCACCAGCATGATTTCCATCAATTTCTCCAATGTCACCATTATCTCCCACTTCTCCTTCTGCTCCTTCCATAGAGTCCAAATTATCTAGCTGCTCTTCCCCAGCCATTCCCAAATCTTCTGTGTCTGCCATGATTAATATCTGTCGCAAGTAAAAGGTAATTAATTAAAAGCTCAAATGTAGCAACACCACAACCATAGTTGCCCGGAGTGGGAGGTAAAAAAGGCCAAGACATGCGCATCAAGTTTCAAGGTAGATTCTAAATAAAACGCAAAGTTGAAGCCTTGGTTGAAAAGGAAAATGTACACAAAAATATTGCTAAGTAATGGTAATTAATGAGCAAAAATTGATTGAATGTTCTACACATTGTTTTGGACAGTGGTTACAAGGACCAATACTAGTATTCCTCGCCGTGAAATCTATTTAAAAATTTCTCCAGAGAGGCAAAAAAACAACCTTTAAGTTAAAGACACTGTCGAACTCCACTCGAGCAGATTGTAAACAATCAGCAGCATAAAATGCTGTAATCCTTCGAACCGTCTAACCTAAGTAGTAAACAGACGACAACCAACATTATTGGTTGAAATTTGACATAATGTGGTGCAAAGTACTCCAGATAACAATCTAGCCACATTCACGGTCTTAAATTGTATTTGTTGAAGAAGAAGATACCTCATAAAACTTTCAAAACTGATTTTCTGAGCCTAGGCCGGTAGCAATAGCCGGTAAAAACTTTAAAGAGGAGGCGTCTGTTTTGAAACGCCCCTTCAGCGAAGATATTTGGGAAGGAAAGAGTCCAAAGATGTGGGGAGTTTTTAACTAAAGAAACTCAGAAAAGAAAACTCGGCGATGGAAAAGGATTAAACACTTGCCTAAAATTCTTTTAAATAGCGAGAGCACAGAGAGAAATTACAAGTAAAGTGTTTATTTCTTCGTGTTCTTTTCCTTCTCTAAATGGTCAATAGGCGGTCGGATGACGTGGTTCTTAAAATGCGAATCGCACAAGAGAGTAAATCTATTAAAATGCTTTTCAAACAAATAATCCAGTTTCATTTAAACAACACGTTTCAAGTCTTTTTCGAATTTGTGGAAATATTTTGCAGTACTTAGACAAATGATCATTTTTGAAGGCACCCTAGCGCAAGGGTCAAGTCAACAACTGTTGACTGTGTTTTTGTGGTTTCCCCTTTCCTTAAGTTTTCCATGACGTGTAAACTTACAAGTTTCTAATTACGATCCATACAGTTTTCTGATGGGTGAAGTTTTATTTGCTGCAGTCTATTCCCGCTCTGCCAGTCTATAATTTTTTTAGTGCACACACTTTTTTTTGTTCATTCAGTTCTGAACATGATTTCGTAGTCGACGTTGACAAAAGCGGACACACGATAAACGTTAGCCGACGATGTGTTTATTTAGTTCTAATTTTACTGATGATTTGTTTGTTTTTATGAAGTATAACGTTAATTTCTCTTGTCTGCTTTGATTACCTGTACTGATTGTGTCCTTGGTCGCCTCGGTCTGTTTCTCTACCCGTGTGTGCCGTCCACAAGACCGACCGTCTGTTAAAGCCCAATTCAAATTTGATTCCAACCCTTTACTTGCTATAATTCTCATTTGTGGCCTGTTGCTTGTCAAGATATCCTTTTACCTGTATGTAACAGCTCGTATCCATTCTGGACATGTTTCCAGACCATAAGCCTTCGTATGTACTTGTTCTGAATAAAGACTAGTCTTTGCATCAAGTTGAATAAAGGTCCAGCGGATCTAACTTCTGCATTGTAAAATGGATATTGATAGTGTAGAACATCAATATACAAGTAGCAGTCAGCGTGCTCCATCCCCAGATTTGTTCTCCTCTGATGATGAGGAATCATACAGAGCAGGTACTGGACGTTTAGACATGTGTTGTACAATTTTTTGTCGCGGCCTAGTTGATGCTGTTTTGTGCACTATAAAAACTTCTATTTAAAACCTCATTTTTACAGATGTTGTCTCGAAGTCATCATCGCCCAGTACTTCCTTGGTCAATCCTTTGGTTGAAAAGAAGGATTCTATGCTTGAGCTAGAATCAGCTCGCCTACAGCGTCTTATGTCACTATTACAGGGCGTTCCACCTCCACCTTCTGTTACTATCCCTCAGATAAATTTAAATGAAGTTCTTCAAAAACTTGAAGAAAATTATGAAAAACTATCTGGATCTTCCTCTAAAGGTTCACAAAACCTCAGATTCGTCTTAATTTTTATTTTTTTAAGATGTTTTATCTTTATTGTTAAATCATTCCTTTTTAGAACCAGTTCACAGTCTGTGGAAACCAACTTCTTCATTGGAGGGTGTGATAAAAACAGAATGGCCATCAATAAAAGAAGTGGTTTACCATGATATGCAGTAAGTGATCAGAAATGAACTTTTTGGTCTGCTAACACATTGCTGTCGGTTTCAAAGTTTAATTCATACTTATATCATACTAGCTTCAATACATGCACTGCCTCAGAGGATATAGAGCACATTAGTATGAAACTCACTGAACGTTTCATTGGAGCTGAAACTTCTACTTGGTGCAATGCTGTGACTTCACAACCCAGTAGTGCAAAAAAGAGGCAAAGAAGAAGCTTAGGCAATGTATGTAGTTATTCATTTTTTGTTACACAAGCTTGAAAAATGAGTTATTTTGAAACCTTTTTCTTCTGCTGTTTCAGGCTTCCCCTGGGTGCAGATTGAGTCACTTGGCTCGAAGACGTCAAACTTTTTCATCTGCCAACATTGCTCAACTTTCCAGTGTAGCTGGAAGTGGAACTGCTGGTGGGGCTCCTCTCCCTGGGAGTAGCCGGTCAGCTCCACGTAGACGCTTAATGAATGGTGGGAATGCTGGGCAGCGGTGTATAATGGTGGAAATTAAGTAAGACTTCAAGAACACTTTACAGCTGACAAATTTTGTGACTCTAGTATTCACACTAACTATTTGATTCTATTGACAGAAAAACTGACAAAAACAAACGAGTTAAAACAAACTCTAAGGGAGCTCAGAGTAAAATACCACCACCAGAAAGTGCCCCAAAACCCACCTCACAACCTCAAGTGCCTATCCAGGGCACAAAAAGGGCATTATTTCAAAGTCCAGAGGAACACAAGCATGCTCCTTCCCTATCAAATCAGCCTAGTGTTACAGAAAATCAAGCTCAACGGTCAAAGAGAGCTTTATGGCCATCTGATGGGGAGGTCAGCCTTTTCTTTTTATGGTTTTAATTTAATTTATCTATCTATCTATTTTTATAACTGTTTTTGAAATTTCAGCAATCTGTACTTAACGATAATGGTAAGAGAACTCTTGACAAAAGTGATTCATCAAATTCTCAGAGGGCCAAAATGCATTGTTCAGATGATCGAGCCCCTTACAGTCGGCTAACAAGGTACTAGATATAGATTGCATAACAGCCCATTTTTTTAAAGAAATGCAGACTTACATTTTGATTCTAATTTTTTCAGGAGTCTTACCTTTCCTGTAGGACATAACTCTGGGACGTCTAAAGCCAGTGCTGTGGGCAGCAGCAATTCTCACCTTAACAACTCTAATGATAATTCCAAATCTTCTTCTAGACGTGCAAGTGATCAAGGACCCTCAGATGGCAATATGAAAATTGAACTAAGTGAATTACATAAGAGGGTAAGCAAAAAAGAACAAACATTTTTTAAAATTTTGTTTTTCTGTTTTTGGGGATGGGTGGGATTTCCAGGTATCTTTCTAATACATAATGTACTGTTTTCTTAGAAACTCTTTTGGGCCATAACCTCCGCTCTCCGTTCACATAATATTAATAGAAATCATCCGGCATTCACTCAGTTATCCTCTACATTGGCATATCATTATATTGAGATTCGTTCTAATATGGACGGTCCTCCACCAGCTAGTACAAGTGAACACATGCTCACTGTTGTGTCATCTAAAGCTGCTGAAGTTATTCAAGCTGAGAAAATGGAAAAATCTGAAAACTTGGGAGGTAACAAAGTTCAAAAGAAAGAAGAACGGTCAAACAGAGAGCTTTTTCGGGATGCCACAGCCTCTTTAAATGTTAGACGAAGCCTCTGTGTGCCTCTTTCAACAACAAATCAGCACTCAGAAGATAAACCTAAGGCCACAAAGAGAGTGCCATCTGCTAGAAAATCTTTATCATTTGATGCAATAGATCCAAAGGCCTCCTCTGGCGTAACAGGTAATGAAGATCATGTGGAAAATGGTGATAGTAAGTATCAATTAGATGGTAAAGGGAAGGATTCCAATTGGAGAGGGAATGGAGAAAATGTACCTCTTTCAAGCGCAAAACGAGTTAGTCGTAGCTTATTCTTATCCCCTAAAGATGAAATAAAAACAGCTAAGAAGGATGCTAGCGAACAAACAAGTGCAGCTGAAAATCAGTCTAGTTCAGTTACTACTAATGATACGGGAGCTGACATTATTGACTGCAGAAGTGAAGAAAACAAGAAGTCATCAGAAGTTTGTGATGTGGATGAGAAACCACAACAGGCTGGAAGTGAGTTGTCATCTATTCCTAGTGTGAGTGCTGCGTCTTCTACTCTTGAGGCTGATAATGAAGCTTCAAGAACAAGTGAAGCAACAAACATCTCTGAACAAACTTACTCAAATGATGCTCAAAACCACACTGCTTGTCCAGATCACAACATTCCTTTGAAAGACAATGTTATGTTAGACAAGACTAATGTTACTTCTAGTTCTTCTGCTAACCCTCAAGCAGATTTAGGAAATACTGACTCTTCTGAATGTCTGCCAACTCGTGTGTTGAGAGATACAAGGGAGAGAATACTAAGAGCTTGCTATGTGCAACCGATGAGGAGGACCAGAAAGTCTCTCTCTCTTTCCAAAAGAGAGTTGAGATCTAGCAGTTCTGATTCAATAGAACAAGATCATGCTAACAACACCCATCCTCAAGACAGAGCTGCTGCACCAACACCTGCTGAAACTTACACTAGTAGTATTACTACAAGTGCTTTGAATATGGAACCAACTGTTGTGTTATCTCCTCTCAAATTTCCATCCCCATCAGTGTCAGCTGAAAGCAATAATACATCAAAAAGCACTTTTGGTAGTCCTCCATTTATTCCTGACAACACTTCCCCTGCCCATTCTCCATTCCTTGGTTTCCCCTCAAAGGACGACCATAACTCATCAGGTGGGGGAGCAGATGGCACTGACAGCACTGTGAAAGTACCTGATGGCTCATCTGAAGAAGGCAATCTGTCTGAGTCTACCTGTGCCAAGTTAGAAATGGAAGAGAAAGTTATCACTCCGTTACTCGAAGCCGGTGTTCTGGAGTCTTCTGTGTGTGTTGGGAGTGGATCGTCACAAAGTACTGATGCTGATCTGACTTTCCGTGGACGAATCGAAAGTTTAAAGCCTTCCACATTCAGTGAGAATGCTATAAATTTGGAGCTAGGAATGAACTTGAGTGCAAATCTTTTAAATATGGATGAAAATAAGGAAAAGAGTCCCGTGCTTGAGAAATGGGCAGAGCGAGCAAGCAGAAGTGCTCAGAAGAGCTCACTTGAGTTTCTTGCTGAGGGTACCAATGATGTTACGAGTGATGACTCTGCTGCTCTAGTTAAACCAACTGAGAACACAGCAGAGGAATCTATGGTGCCATGGGATGAGTCACAGATGGAAGCAGTGTCTCAGTGTTCTACAAATGTCTTTGAAAAGTTTTGTTCAATTTTTGGTCCTTCTAGTCACCAAGGTAATGCTTAAAAGTGATTTGTAGGAAAGTCACCCGCATGGTGGTTGGTTCCTTTGTGATGTCATATTTTACCTACCTATAATTTTAAGTTTGACTGGCTATGGAAAGACTGAAATACGCCTCTTTGTTGTCAATTTTATTACTTTCATGTGCAAATTTTTAATTGGTTGAATATTTATTGCAGACAAAAACTCAAGGACTTATGTTACAAAAATTATTGTTAAACCATCTCAGTATACAACCTTTTTTGTTTGTTTTTGTTTTCCTGGAGTTTTTCTGCTCTGCCACACATGAATTGTGGTAGTGTGTTGTATAAATTTCTTTGAAATCCATAGCTATCACAGTATTTTGTTTTAAACAAAAGGGCTGTGACCTCTTATTTTTTAACATTTTTAAGAGAACTAGTAGAACTATCTTTGTGTGATTCAGATATTTCATCAAAACAAGGATTTCAGACTGTCACAATTTTATCCTGCTTTTTTGGTTTCGTTTTTATTGTCATTGTTTTCAAATGTATTTTGCCTATGTGCCTTACTACATGTGAAGACTCTGCTGAGATTAGCATCCATTTAAATTTGTTCTCTTAACAATGCTAATTTTGAAAGGCATCTGTTCTTTCATTATGTTGTAGTATTTAAAGTGGACCATGTTTTTTTTTTTGTTTTTTTTTTTTAGAAGGTCTTATACTATGTAACTTACAAATCATCATAATGATTCTTCATGATTGTGCAGGTTGTATGTTACTCAGTTTAATGATCTCAAATGACACTGACTATTGTCCTATGTATTTTAAATTCCTGGAGTTCTACATAGTGAATGGTTTGATTTTACGTCCATGACTTAAATAATTGATTCGGTCGTGTTAGACTAAAATTGATTTGTTTCCAAAAAATATAAACAAAATAAAAATGTAAAAAAAGTATATATTTATCACATCATATTATTTTCCATAATTAACGCTGCCACCGGGAAAAGATACAAAACCATTAGATGGACGTCCGCCACTGAGGAAGGTTGAAAATCTGTTGGGCACATTGACAAATCCTCCTGGATAGGCTACTTGCACGCCTCCGCCCTGGCCTCTGTTGGGAACACTGACGAAACCACCAGGGTAGTTGACGTTCACCTTAAGAGATGGGGAAAGAAAAAGAAACACCGCTGTACAAACAACTCAATTTAAAAGAAAACTGACAAACAGAACAAATAACGTACCTGGGGAAACGCCAGCGACACCTGAACGGCGAGCGAAACCGCCAAAACGAGGAGAATCTGCAACGAATGGAGGAGTACGATCAGTTTCACTTTACAGAAAGGGCGAGAAACCTACGAAAGAGTCACGTAACGTGACAACCATATATAGATGCAACACGGGACGCGAGACTCGCGAGCACATGATGGTCACACATCACACGATACGCTCGATGCTCATTGAACGACACTTGGAGTCTCAATCTAGGGCTCTAAACGACGGCGCGATATTTGACAGAGCATACTCGTACACCACCGGGGAGACTCACCACGACAGGGCGCGCCATATTTGTTGAATTATTCCTGCCGAACGACGAGGAGCTCGAGGATCAGCGACGGACGGGGACGCGGGAGCGCCAAGTGCCGGGCGCTCCCCACCTTTTATACCCGGCGGCCCCTCCTCCTCCTCCTCCTCTACCTCGCGGTGCGGCGGCATTCCCTCTCCCGCTCCTGCTCCTCGGCCGGGGCCGCCGGGGCGCATCCTCCTCCTGATTTTGATGTAGCAGGACGGAGCTAATTGGCTCGTAATGCCACCGCGACGGGCACATGGCAGCGGGGAGGGCCCTACCCGCGGGGCACACACACGAATCGGCTTTAATGCTCATCGGCCGCCGCGCGCCGATCCCTGACCCCGCCACACCAGAGAGGAGGGCCAGCCTGCCAGCCAGCCAGCCGCGGGCCGCGAGGAGCGCCCATGCGCAAATAGCGGGACGCTGGCTGCTGCTGCTACTGCCGCCGCCGCCGCTGCTGCTGCCGCTGCTGCTGCCGCTGCTGCTGCTGCTGCTGCTGCTGCCGCCGCCGCTGCTGCTGCTGCTGCTGCCGCCGCCGCTGCTGCTGCTCAAGCTGCTGCCGGGATTGCTGTGATTTTGTCGGGATTGTCCGTCCAGCGCCGACGACGTAGCCGCAGCCGCAGCCGCGCCTCAGTCGAGCGCGCGGGCTTAAAGTGCAAAATCGTGGGGCCAGTTTGGATCGAGTCTTGTTGCGAGCATCAGTTGCCGAGAGGTAGAGTCCTACATGGCAGTCCCATATACAGGGCTCTATACCCCCCCCCCCCTTCTTACACACACTTTTCTAGATACAGGCGAAAGTCTCCCACATTGATCAAGATGAGCAGATTGACAAAAGCTTCCCATTTTGATAAAAAGACTCTGCCGATTCCTTTAAGACAAGGGCGGAAACAAAATCTGAGCAAGGCTATGGTCCTTCCCTCTTGAACTATATCGAAATAAGAAATACCGAGAAATACAACTTTCCCCTATGAACGGCGCGAGCCGGCCGAAACCCCCCCGTGTAGGTAGGCAGCCACACGCTCTCCCGCGCCCTCTTTTTGCCGTCGCTTTTTGTAAAGGAGACTAGCAAATTTTCAGACTGCGCGAAATTGTGTCGCTGCCCACGCGCCGGCGCTACCGAAGCGCGGCCAGACCCTCATGCATAAAGATGCGCGCTTGATTCAAGGAAAACCTTTATACGCCACTTTGATAACATACACACACAACTAAACACGCCGAATAATAACGCCAGAGAAAAACCGACGAGTTATGCTGCGTGGCGCGTACGTTGGCGGCTTGAATTTGTTCTCATTCTTTCCGCGCCATAGACGCGTAGCAAAAAAGGAACAGAAAAGCTTCTGTTAGTAGCGAGGTGTGTGTCAGTACAACTGCAGTTTTTGTAGCACAAAACACAAAAGTGTCCTGGCGGACCGTCCACGTCCACGCGCCCATTCCAGCGGTTCCAGCGCAAGGAGAGCCTTCTGGGGGAGGCGGTGCGGTGGGTCGCTCGAGAGGCTGGTCGCTGTCCCGGGTGGACTTTGGAGCCGCCGGGCTACCTGACTAGCTCGGGGCCAAAGATCCCCAGAAAAGTGACTAGGCGCGGCGCGGAGCCGTCGAGTTAAATCGCTTCCAGGAGGGGCTTCCAGGACTAACGATCACCACATAGAGGTGAGTAACAGAGTCACGCCGGTTAAAAATCACAGTGGCTTATTTATTCCATGTAAATAACAGCATGAGCCTTAACAAGTAATATTCATACAAAAATAATACGATCATCAGTAATGACTTTTTTCTGATTTATACACAAAGGCTGTAAAAGAGCCAACAGTTTCAGTACAGGGTGCTCGAATGAGCGCGCAGCAAGTGCCGGGGTCTCAGTGGTGCCAGTTGGAGGGGAGTCCATGCTTGACTTTGGTGATGTGCGAGGGAATCTCGACGCCACCCTCCTTCTCCTTCATAGTTTTCTCAATCTCCTCCACCCTGGAAAAAAATACAACATGCGTCAGCGCCGCAGCAAAATCGCACACGCCCGTAATCCCGGGCGAAAAAAAGGGGGGGGGGAGGCTCGTTGTGCAACTACTTACGAGCGGGGCACCTTGGTGAGGTCCTCGCAGCCCGTCTCCGTGATGAGGACGTCATCCTCGATGCGCACACCACCAAAGTTTCGGAAGCGCGCAATCTGATCGGCGACTAGGAATTTGGACTTGACGGGGTCGGCCAGCGCGGCGTCCAGGAGCTGAGACAAACAAAATTAGTGGATCAGCGGAACGAACGACAAACCACTGAGTCGGCTATCCTGCCGCCTGCTATACCTCCTAGGCGGGATCATCCGGAGAGTAAGTCCGGCATTCGCCCTTACGAAACTGCAAAATTCCGCTTCTGCGAGCTCACAGTAGCGCCTGGTAGGTAGGCAACATCTTGCCTGCAGCGCATACGTGTACTCCGGGCTGGCCTACCCTGAGTCGCGCGGGCGTCAAGCTCCCCGTTTAGTTGCAGAAACGAGTCTGGGGGAAAACGGACGTACTTTCTGGACGCGGGGAGAGATGCGTAGTGGCAGAGAAGAAAACTTACGTGGTCCACGAAGTAGCAGCCGGGCTCGATGGTGAGCACCATGCCGGGCTGCAGGACGCGGGCCGTGCGCAGCTTGCTGACGCCCGGCTCGGTGGGCCTGGGCGGGTCCTTGTCCAGGTAGCCACCCACGTCGTGCACGTCCAGCCCCATGAAGTGGCCCAGGCCGTGCGGCTGGAAGACAGCGCCCAGTCCAGCCTGCTCTCGATTGAAAAAAAAAAAAAAAAAATTACGTCGAGTACTGAAAACAAAAAGTTGTGGGCGCGGTATTTCGGACGCGCTTTTGGGCTATATGGTGTAGTGGTAATTAGTCCAGTGACCGGAAGCGTCCCCCTCGAGACCAGGACCAGCGGCCAGGCATTTGGCCTTGGGGCGCACAAGCGGCCAAAGCGCAAACCAAGGAGGCGCTTTACGCACCACTCAGCAAACTCATGTCTGCTGCTCCCGGAAAACAATCATGGACGAAAAATATCGTGTGTCGGTGAGCGCGGCGGGCTCGCGGAGACCGTGTGCTCTTACCTTCAGCATGTCGTCCACGTCGCCTTTGAGCAGCCCTCCGGCGGCCATCTCGCCCAGCATGACTCGGTTGGCGAGGCGGTGCATGTCCACCCAGGACACACCTGGGAAGAGCGGGACGCATGAAAATAAGGGGCGCAGTATAAGACAATAAGATGACAGAGGACGCGAGCAGAATGCCCGCGCCGGCCGTTTTCGGGCAGAGACTCACCGGGCTTGGCGGCGTTCATGACGGCCAGGTTGGCCTTGAGCACGGCGTTGTAGATGAGGCGCTGGTCCGCGGTGAACTTGCCGTTGACGGGGAAGGAGCAGGTGATGTCGGAGGCGTAGCCGTAGTAGTTGGCGCCCATGTCAAACAGGCTGTGGAAGGAAGACGAAACGCGGCACATTTAGACCGGTGTGAGGCGCGCGCAAGACAGAAGTTTCGTAGGGATTTTTAAGTCCGAAAATTTTGCGGAAAAATAAGAAAATTTCCCAGAAAAAGTAGAAAAATGGACAATTTTGAACTTTTATAGAATTATTTCAGATCAATTCTTTTGTGACAAATTCCCCCCCCCCCCATAAATATTTCTCTGAAGAATTAAAATCCCCTTTCGGTCCGCTCACCACATGTCGCCGTCCATGACGCCGCAGTCGTTGGGGGCGCCGCCGTGGCCGTAGTGCAGCACGGCGCCGTTGTTGCCCGAGCAGCAGATGCAGGTGTAGGACACGTGGCGGCAGCCGCCGTGCTGGTACACGTAGTGCCGGAACACGGCCTCGGCCTGGTACTCCATCATGCCCGGCACCACGCTCTTCATGACGCGCACGTGCGCCTCCGACGACACGCGCACCACGTACCGGATCACCTCCAGCTCCAGGGGGGTCTTGATGACGCGGCTGCAACACATGAGAAAGCGAACTGAAATAAGGAATTTTAAAGACCAAAATTTTTCCGGAAAAATTGAAAAAAAAAGAAAAAAGGAAACATTTCGGGGGAAATTGAAAGATTCAAAGAAAAAAATCATCTGCAAGTAATCTTGAAAAAATTCCCAAAAATACTGATCCGGTAAATGAAAATCCCTAGGTAAGAGGTGGTGGTACGGCCCCTGTGCGGTAGGCCGCCCCGCTGCGTCGCGTGCACGCCGGTCGCGCCGGCTGCCTACCCCACGCGCCGCGGGCGCTCCACTCGCCGCAGCAGCTCTCAGCGCTCAGCAACGAGACAAACGGAGACGCAGCGCCGTGCACTTGACTCCTTTCAAGTTTTTAAAACTAGCCGGCTTGGGATTCGTGTTGATGCTGTGGTGGAAAGGGGGCGATCGAAATACGCAAGAGTTGTTGGACAAATAATTTGTGTTTATTTTAATTTCCTACATTGAGAAACATTCAGAATTTTCTGTCAACACTGCACTGCTTCACAATGGATTCAACACTTTTTAATGACTTGGTTGCAGTCAGACGAACACATACGTTGGTGACAATACGTAGTTTGCTGATTTTGAACACAACTTTCAGACTAGTGCGTTTCAGGCACAAGACTTTAAGACACAAGTGGTGTGCCAAATTTCAACATCAACTCTCTCAAAGTGTTTGACAAATCACAGTTTTAGGATTAAACTTACTTAATCCTCAATTATACAAATTGAAAGTTTGATCAATGAGTTCTCAACGATTGGCCATGTGACCAGACTAGTTCCCTACAAAAACTGATCAATATAGCCAATATATTGTATTGTGTTGTGTTAGTTCATATAGACACTAACTATAATATCACAGTTATGTTGAATACATTTTGACAAAGTAATCAACAGCAAAAAAAATCTAAGAGACAGAAAAAATCAATAGCTCAAGTTTAAATTAGATCGCAAATTTAAAATCATCAGTAAAATTAAATAATGGCCAATTGTGACAAAAACTAAAATTTTGTTCTGCAAATAAGAACTGTATCTTTTTTTTTTTTTAGTGAAAATAATAAGTTTATCACAGTACAAGAGAATTAGCAAAATTTGATGAAGTGATAAGAAATAATTCTACATTCAAACTAAGGATTTAAGTCACTGTATTAATGGCAAGGTCATTTTTTTCATGAGCATATCATAAAATGATTTTAGAACAACGTTATATTAATTTTTATACATTATTAGTTTCTTTTTCCTGACAGAATGGACTACTAATAATTAGTTGATGCGACAGTTCAGTCTATTATTTATAGGTACCTAATACATCTGATATCTGCTTATAAATTAAAAAAATTGTTTAACTAATGTAACTGCTGCAAAGCTTTATGAAATTATACCACTTTTCCCCAAATACTCACTCTCTTAGGAACGAGACAACATTTTGAGCAGCACACTTTTAAAATCACCCTTCACACTATGGTAACAAGAAGGAAGAACTACATATTGCCACTTGTCATTGCTTTGCTTTTTTTTCTCTAGCTGCCCTTAAACTTTCTTGTAAATATCTGTCAAGGGATCTTTGATTGGACAATAACCTTGTCATTACGTCATATCTTAATTTGACTGTTTGCAAACCTAGCTTTTTGAAATGGTGATGTCTTAGTTCTTGAGGTCCTGTTAGATGGTCCATTTGTGCACAGTAGTGTTCAGGGACGTGGATTAGAAACGCAATACTTGAACTCCGTTCATCTTGAGTGAGAGTAAGCCTTCCTTCTTGTTGTGGGGATGGTGAGCTTGGGTGCAGAAGAATATCCACTATATATAACGATACAGCAGGCGTACCACTCATTAATACAAACTGGCTTATTTTACTCCTACTCCCTGCTGATTTCTCAAGAGAAGCAATAACAGTATGCATTACTTTTGTCAGTCTTTTATCAACCCACATTGATTTTACATTTGTTTCACGAGGTAAGAGGGGCCCGTTATAGTCTTCACAATCTAATGTCATTGCCATATCAAACAACTTTAACTTGGTCTGAGTGGACCTAATAGTCTCCTCATTTTGGCAGGAATCCAAACGATCAAGAAAGTTGGAATTGAAAATTTTACTAACAAATTGCACGGGATAACGTCTCAGATATATAAAGGCCAAAACTATGTCTGCAGCATCTTCTGGCCTAAACCTCACAAAATTTTCACTAAATGATTTCTCAACAGCATCAATAAATGAGTCTGATTGTGCAGGGTGATAGTATAAGAGACCATAAGGCGAAAATATAGATTTGAGAACAACTGGGGACATAATGGTACTACTGTTTATGACATGATTAGCACAAGCTTCTAAAATTGTGGGAGACCTGAGACGAAATTTTGAACAGAATTCCATGATGTTGGCAAACAATTCAGGACTCTAGAAAAAAAAAAGGGAACAGGTAAATGTTATGGAGAGTAAAGTAGAGTATATAATAAAGATTATACAATTGTGTATTACAAAAAAAAATTATAACATACCTTATTGTGAGTCTTTACATATTTTTCCAAAGACTGAACAATTCGAGGGCTGTTGTAATCCAGGCCACACAACGCAGCAACAATGTCAACCAATTCTTCTTCAGAGACAGCATCAATGTTGGTGGCAATCCAATGCGAAATTTCAGCCAGCAACCTATCTGATGGACTCTGTCCAACCTGAAATTTAATTTAGAGAATGATAAAATAAGAGATTTTTCTAACTTATTGCACAGTAAAACGCACAACAAAATTTTAAAACTTACCTCCTTACACGCCTGAAGGGTGGCCATTATTTCAGCAATAGCAGCTCCATTGAGGCTCCAACAAACTTGAAGAAATGCAATCTCTGCATCAGCAAGAACAACCTTTCTACTTTTCTTGAACAAGGGTAGTACTCTAAAGACCTCTACTATATTTGATGGATCAATATCACCAGCTTTAGCTTCAAAACCCACCCAAAGCAAATCTATCAGTTCCGCATCATCCTTATAGATATAAGAGAAGGCATGAACTATTTCACATAATTCTGTTATTGAAAACTTTGAATCAGTAGCTAAAATTAACGCCTCATGACTAAGTCTTGCTCTGTAATAACCAACCCAGGAATTATTGTTGCGGGAAGCTGCTCTTGACATATCTCTCGTTATAATCTTTAGTGATTCGAGGATAAGCTTGGGATTATTACTAGCTACAATAGCTTCTAAAAGAGAGCACACAACAGCATCTCTTGAATTGTTTTTATCACGATCTTCATTACCACCGTTAGGTGGGGTTTTTCTTCTGTAGTGCTGATTATTTTCTAGTTCAATGAGCTTGCGCAGAATTTCAACCGACACTGTTGGGGTAAGTTCATTAGCAGGGACATCCCAAACCAATTCAAGGAGGTGCTTTAGGGTGCGACATGACTTGAGGACTCCATGCAACTCTTTCAACTCTTCTTCGTCTGGCTGTGTGTCAGACGTAGTACTCTTGTCACCTTCATTGCGACTCTCCTCATCCTCACACAAGGCACCCAGTTTCGCCTTTCTGACAATCACGGGCAATTCTTGAATGTGGCGGCCGTTTTGTGAGAGTATGATAGTGTGCTTGAGATCTTCCCTGCCCCTGTCATCATGAAGGACGAGGGCGCTCGTTGCTACCCGGCGAACCCTCCAGCCTCTGCACACGCAGAGGTTAGGTGACGCGATCGCTGCACTAAAAAGGTATTTACCGCCACGATTGGCTAGCTGGCCGGCCAAACCCATGGACATGGTCCGAAGTACACTCAATTTTCACCCAGGGGCCAAGTGAAACACTTGAGAATTTGGCTCACAGACGTGTTTGTTGTGTTTCTAAAGTTTTGTTCTCATTTGGAGGCCATGTCTGAGAAAAACAGCTGATTGACGCAAACGTAAGCAAGAAAAGGGAACGCCTCCTTTCGCTCTTCTCCTAGTTCAGTTTTATCGACGTGAATACGTTTGCGTTATCAGTAAAGATAAGACAGAAACAATTAAAGGAGTGCGGTCATCAGCGAGTAATGTGAGGAAACCAGAAACTCTACAGGGAGTTTCGAAACGGAGCATTGAATTTTGGCCGCCCACAGTTGGCAACAGCTTTCGTGGCGTTGTTAAGCTCCCACCACGTCCCAAGAGATGGCAGCACTAGGCACAAAACGAAACACGCGTACACCTTGCGGGAAAGTCAAACAATGACGGCACTGCAAATACGGGCTGGGCGGAAACCGCTGGATGGCGGAGAAACGGCCGTGCCAAAACATGTTCCTGTCCGGGAGTCAAACAAGTACTCGAGGAGCGTACAGACATTCAGCAGAAGTCGTGTGGTAAACTGCCTTCTCCTCTTGCCCCTCTAGCGAATGACTCGGCAAAGCGACAACCACAATAAGGCGTAATAATAACATGCGATGCGACACTGGAACTCACCATTCTGAGATGATGGGGTGAAGCGTTGAATAGTCGACCTTGAACCTGGAACGAAAGAGTCCGCTTAGTGAGTTAGATCAGAGACCCCGGGGAGGCTAAAAGGCTAAAATGGCTAAAATAAAGGTCAAATAACTTTATACGTTAAGGGATCACCCGGAGTGTACGCCCGTTTTTCTCAGATTCTTTCGCCAAATTACGAGACCTGGGCGCCTGCGAGACTCGGGGTAGGCCACCCCGCAGTACACGCTTGCACTGCAGGCAAGATGTTGCCTACCGATCAGGCGCCATGAGAGCTTGCAGGAAGAGGAGGCTGAACTGGACAGGTTCGTTTAACGGCGAATGACGGACGCACTTTCCTGGACGATCCCCAACTATTATAATTGCCACATACACAACTAAAGAAAACATGCGGTATAAACCTACTTGTCTATTCCATCGAAGGATGCCGCTTTGCAAGTCAGTCCGCTATCCGAGTTGACGCCGCGCTGTAAACAATAGGCAGATAATCAGGCCCAGCTCGATGATAGCCATCATGGGCGAGGCCAAGAGGCCACCACTCGGTGACACCCGAGAGAACGCATCGCTTCGATATCGTCTCCCCGCCGGGCCCCGACGCCCCCGTCGCCCCAACTCAAACGGGGGCCTAACGGGCTTCACACACATCAAGGCGACTTATGCAAATAAAGATAGTGGCGTGCAAAAGCCGTGACGTCTACGAAAAATCTCGCGAGCGACCCGCGTGTGTTTATGCGATATTTTCCCTTACCAAGACGAGCAGCTCGGTGGCTCCCAGACTCTGCAGGACGGCCGGGATCTGGAACAGACAGAAATAGACTCTTTAATCAACTTTGTCAATCGGGGGCGCCAGCCTAAACATACGGTGGCAGCTGGTGTTGTGTTATCAGGTGCACACAGCGGGTGGGGCCGGGCATATGGCGGGGCGGGGTGAGGTGGGGTAGAGGCGGCCCAGTCAGACGTGTCGAGTAGGCACACCCTACAAGGGGGGGAATGCCATCACTCGCACCCAGCGAGACGTTGTTCGATTTGAAAGTTATTTTTCCGACGCAAAACGGGGAGACAGTCAGCCAGCCAGCCAGCCAGCCGTGCCTACTCAATTTAAATTTGATGAAGGGTCGAGTGGGAGAGAAGAGCCAGCCAGGGGAGTTGGGAGGGGACAGGAGGGAGGAGGGG